TTTATTTACAATAGTGGGTGATAGAGGAAACACCCCTAAAAGCTCCCTTCAAATGCTCCCTACTCTGTCTCCGCTGGTGCTTTCCTGGGTGAAGCACTTTGACTGGGGCCACCCTCACCTGAGGTACATTTTCAGTACTGATCTTTATACTGAGCCCTGGTGCCCACAGGCTCACCAAACTAATGGAAATGGTTTTATTTCCTCTGACATTAAGTGAGCATAATTGGTGACATTCCTCAGTCTGGGTTCATCCAGAGCTAATTTGGGAAGCTTGCAGTGGGAGCTGGTGCCATGGTAACCACAATGAGAGGCTTGAGGCTTTCCTTGACAAAACTAAGAAATGGGAGCCAAAGAAGAAGCATTTTAGTTTCCCTGAAGTGATTTCAGAATTACAGTTTTCCAATTTGCTTGGGTTTTGGGGGTTTTTTTTGTTTTGTTTTGGGTTTTTTTTTTGAGATAAGATTTCATGTAGCCCAGGCTGGCCTCAAACTTACTATATAGCCAAGGATGACCTAGAATTCCTGATCCTCCTACCTCAGTCTCTCAAGGGCTAGGATTACACCCAGCTAAAATTAGAATTTTCTGCATCCTCACTGTATAACTTTGGACATTGAATCCTCAAGATCGTTTCAGAAAATACCAGAAGTAGGTTTGGGGAGGGTGGTCTGGTTGTTTTTATTTTGAGAAAGAATCTCACTCTGTAGCCCAAGTTGCTTCCAACTCAGTGATCCTCTGCTTTAACTTTCCAAGTTCTGGAATTACAGGCATGTGCCACCACACCCAGATGACAGGAGTCTCTTTGCTAGAGGAAAGCTCAGAACTGACATTCTCAGAAGACTTGGTTGGCTTGGCAGTTTACTGGTGTTGATTGCTGGTAAACTGGTCATTTACCTTGTCCTCCAGAACAGGAAAGGCTCATGCCCAGAATTGTTCTGAAGTGTAAATGAAAGTGTGGATTACAGCTAGTGCTTCATGTGCAGATCTACTCCTTCACTTTAGGCTATTGATAAGCTCTCTTAGTGTCTATCTCTCTCTCGCTCTCTGGCTCACTCTTGTTCTCCTTATAGAGGAGGCATTTCAGAGTGTATTTCATCCTTGATCATAACATGTCAGAACGATAGAAATAAAGTGTAATGGAATTAGACAATGAACTCTTAACACTGAACTAAGAATCAAGGGCTGGACAACAGAAGAAAAATCAGGACATTGCAGAAAAGTAGATTTACTGGAGATGATTCCATCAGTGAAATATGCCAGACTCAGGCATATGACATACTTCCTCTCATATGCAGAATGTAGAGCTCTGTGTGTGATTATGACAATGATGGTGGTGATGATGGAAGAAAAGGGACCATGAGAGAGATCTTGAGGGTTAGGGGAAGAAAGGGTGCTGGAATACGTATGACATGAAAGCAGAAAAGAGGCTGTTTAGGCGAGGAAAGAAACTGTCGAGAAGTGGGGCAGGGGGCTGGAGAGATTGCCTCACCAGTTAAGAGTGCTTTCCTACCCATCCAGAGGACGTAAGTTTGGTCCTCGGCATCCATGTTGGGTGGCTGCCTCACAACTGCCTGGAACTCTAGCTCAGAGATCTGACACCTCTGGTCTCTGCTGGCACCTGTGCTCACATGCACATACTCACAGATATAAGCTTATTCATGTAATTAAAGGTAAATCTAAAATAATAACATGTATGTATGAGAATGCCATAATGAAACCCATTACTTTGTATAACATTTAAAATTTAATATAAAAAGTTGTAGGTTAATTAAGGACTAGAGTTATGGGCAATTGGAAGAGTGTGTTCAATCAGCATCACAGGAAAAGAAAAGGAAAAATTTCAGAGGCTGGGGAGATAGCTCAGTTGATAAACTGCTTGCCACACAAGCATGACAACCTGAGTTTGATCCTTAGCACCCAGATAAAAAGCTGGATGTGATGGTACACACTTGTAATCTCAGCACCAGGGAGGCAGAAACAGGTAGATACCTGGGGCTTGCTGGCCAGCCAGCCTAGCCTAAGCAGTGAACCCCAGGTCCCAGTGAGAAACTTTGTCTCAAAAAACAAGGTATAGGGGGCTGGAGAGATGGCTCAGTGGTTAGGAGCACTGACTGCTCTTACAGAGGACCCGGGTTTGGTTCCCAGGACCCACACTGCAGCTAAAAACTGTCAGTAACTCCAGTTCCAGGGGATCTGACGCCCTCTTCTGACCTCCGTAGGCATTGCATGACAGGTACATTTATATGTAGGCAATACATTTATACACATAAAAGATAAATGAAAATTCTAAATTTTTTTTTTTTGGTCTTTTTGAGACAGGGTCTCCCTGTAGCCCCAGCTGACCTGGCACTCACTGTGTAAACCAGATCCGCCTGTCTCTGCCTCACGAGTGCTGGGACTAATGGGCATGTGCCACCACGCCCAGCTTTAAAAAAATTTTTTTAAGTTGCATGTATGTGAGTGCACCCGTGTCGTGCAATGCTGCAGAGGTCAGAAGAGGGCTTTGGATTCCCCCGGAACTGGAGTTAAGGACAGTTTGTAGCCACCATGTGGGTGCTGGGAATTGAACCCGGGTCCTCTGCAAGAGCAGTTAATGCTCTTAACTGCTGAGCCATCTCTCCAGCCCTGAATTTAAATTGGGGTTCAGTATATGGAATATAGCGCTTACTAAGTCATTTGTGAGGTTCACATGGATTTACTCAGCAACAGTCGAATGTTTCATAGGGATGTAAGGCATGGCCATCACTGCGAAGTCAGCTCTGAAACTCCCCAGTGCACCCAGCAGAGTCTTGTGGCATAAGAGGGAAACAGAAAGCCAGAGTAGACTAGTCTCTGGTCCCAGATAGTACTGAGATGTGGCGTGGGCTAGGAGTATCAGAGATTTACAGTTGCTCAGATCGGCTTAGATTTTTGTCAGTTTCCTTATTTCCTAGATGTCTGTGTGTTACAGTCATTTTCCAGCAGATGGCAGTCAAGTGTCTTGAGAAAGGGACACCTTTATCTTATTTACCCAGGAATCCAGGAACCTTGGTGCTGGGTCACTAGGTCTGGTAAGAAAGAATGAGGTTTATGGAACAGGATGAAGAGGGAAGCAAAGTTTGGACCTTGGTTAACTGAACAAGCAGGGAAATAGCTTTTGAGGGAGGGTAAAGAAAGAGCAAGGGCTAGGCTGATGGCAGCCTGTATTCCCAGCACTCAGGTGGCTAAGGCAGAAGGATCCCAGTTCAAAGCCAACCTGGGCTACATGGCAAGACCCTGTCTCATGAGGGAAAAAAAAAATGGGTTATAATTCCTTTTAGTTATCCCATAAAGTGTCTTTCCCATAGCACTATACTCTGCTTATGTGTTAGGTAATGGCTCCAGATGAGATTTAAATTTTGATGTACCCAGATAATTCTCAGAACTGTCTACAGTGAATTTAAATCACATTTGGGGCTGGGGATGCAGTTCAGTGGCAGAGTGCTTCTCTAGCCTGAATACGGCCCTGGGTTTGCTTCTCAGTGCTACCCAAAATAACAGTACTAATAATTCTAAGTCATTCATTTCCCAAGTTCAACTTAGTGATGCAATATCTTTGCAACCACAAAGTATAGTGAGGAAATTCCAATGTAACAAGCATTGCTGCCACGTTCAGCAGTGCACCCAGCAGTGCACCAAAGGCTCCAGTGATAGTTCCAAACCCATGCTCACACAGACGGTTAAGATCAGTGAGTCATAAAACACAACAGAAAGACGTGAATGTGAGAAAGGGACCTGTAAGGGAGGAAGGAGAGGGGTGAAGGGAGACTGGAGGAAGGGTGAGAATAATCAGAAGGCCTTGTATGGTGTATGTGTATGAGATTGTCAGAGAACTAATTTTTTTTAATATTTATTTTATGTGTATGAGTGTATTGCCTGCATGTATGTGAGTGCACCCGTGTCTTGCAGTGTCACGGAGGTCAGAAGAGGACTTTGGATTCCCCCAGAACTGGAGTTAAGGACGGTTCATAGCCGCCATGTGGGTGCTGGGAATCGAACCCGGGTCCTCTGTAAGAGCAGTCAGTGCTCTTAACTGCTGAGCCATCTCTCTAGTCCCCAGAGAACTAATTTAATCAATTAAAAAAATAGGAGTGCCGGCCAGGTGTGGTGGCGCACACCTATAATCCCAGTACTCCGGAGGCAGAGACAGGTCTGTAAGTTCAAGGCCAGCCTGGTCCACATAGTGACTTCCAGGCCAGCTTGGGCTACAGGGAGACCCTGCCTCAAAAAGACAAAAAAAGAGAAAACAACACTGTTGCTAATGAATATGATCAAAAATAAAAATAATAGGAGTGCTAGGCATGGTGGCGCTTGCTTTTAATCCCAGCACTTGGGAGGCAGAGGCAGGAGGATCTCTGCGAGTTTGAGGCCAGCCTGGTCTACATAGTGAGTTCCAGGACAGCTGGGGTTGCAGGGAGACCCTGTCTCAAAAAGACCAATAAATAAATAAATAAATAAATAAAATAAAAATAGTGTCAGGGAGAGATCATTTATTATGTGCAACAGCCAGAGCCTGAATTTAGAATTGGCCCCGAGTCCAAATTTAGTCAGTAGCTTATTTGTGATCTGAAACATCACTAAAGCTGTGACATCCTGTTATCTGTAAAGTAGGGAATGTACCATCTCACTGACTTATTTTGAGAACTGAATGATGTGAATAGGCATTTTGTATGCTATAGAGAGTGGGAGACACACAAGAGGAAGTGGTGTTTTTACAGCCCTCGCAGCCCAGGCTCATTATCTTCTATTTTTAGAAATTCCCTCATGCTAGGATTTTGGGAGCCTCACCCTTGATGTGAAATTTAAAGTAAGTTGTCAGAATGGCATGCTTTCACATTCTTTGGACAGAGGCCTACTAGATCTCTGGCTGTGCCCCTAACTCTCCACCAAGCAGTCTCTATACCACAAGCAGGTGGTACTTTGTCTTTGGTACTGCAAAAAGTTAGGGAAGGATGTCCTAATAGGGAATCTCTTTTTCTCTTCAGGTAAGGAGAGCTGCTTTGAGAGAATTGTCTCAAGGTTTGGAAAGAAAGTCACATATGTAGTGATTGGAGATGGACGAGATGAAGAAATTGCAGCCAAACAGGTAACTATGGAAAGAAAAAAAAAATCATTTATGTGATTGTGAGTCAAGCAATTTGAAAGGTGATAAAATAGAGCTAGGTACAGTGGCACTCATCTATAATTCCTGCACTCTGGAGACTGAGAGAGGAAGATCTTGAGTCCAGGGTCAGTCTGGGCTACATAGCAAAGGCACTCAAAAAAGAAAGGAAGAAGCTGGGCATGGTGGCTCATGCCTTAATCCCAACACTTGGGAGGCAGAGGCAGGGGGATCTCTGAGTTCAAGGCCAGCCTGGTCTACATAGTGAGTTCCAGGCCAGCTGGGGCTACAGGGAGACCCTGTCTCAAAAAAACCAAAAAAAAAAAAAAAAAAACATGAAGGGAGGGAAGGAGGACATAGCTTACTTGGTAGAGTGGTTGTCTAGCATACATGAAGCCCTGAATTTGACCCTCAGCACTGCATAAACCAGGCATGATGGAGCATGCTTTTAATCGCAGCACTTGGGAAGTGGAGGCAGAAGGATTGGAAGTTCAAAGGGCATCCTTGACTACATAGGAAGTTCATGGAGTACATGAGACCCTGCCAGAAAGAGGGGTGTATGGAGAACAACGGTAAAATTGCAAAATCTTTACATCTGTCACGAATTTGTAGTGCTTCTTTCCTACTTTTCTTTAAAGAAAGGTCATCTTGAAATAGAGTTTTCCCTAGAAGCTGTTAGGTCTTCTTTCCTCTGTTTCAGTCAAGAATCTTAAAATTGGGATTGCAGAGATGGCTCAGCAGTAAGAGCACTAACTGCTCTTGCAAAGGACCCAGGTTCAATTCAGATTCAATTCCCAGTACCCAACATAGTAGCTAACAATCATCCTTAACTCCAGTTCCAGGGAGTCTGATGCCCTCTTCTGACCTCCATGGGTACTGCCTGACACAGGTGCACTGATCTACATGCAAGCAATACACTCATACACATAAAATAACAAAATAATAAATAAAATATGTATTTTTTTAAATCTTAAAATCAGGGCTGGGGGATGTAGCTCAGTTGGTAGAGCACTTGCCTAATATGTACTATCAAGCCCAGGGTTTGATCACCAGCACCTCATAAAACCAGGTGTGGTGGTACATACCTATAATCCCAGCACTCAGATGGTAGAGGCAGGAGGACCAGAAGCTCACAGTCATCCTCACCTGCATAGCAAGTTTGAGGCCAGCCTGGGCTGCATGAGACCCTATCTCAAAGAAAGAAGAATCTTAAAACCTTCCAGCCTTATTACAACCCCCAACCCCCCATTAAACCTGAGTTGAGCTGAAGAGATGGCTCAGCAGTTAAGAGCACTTACTGTTCTTTCAAAGGACCTGGGTTCATTTCCCAGCACCAACATGGTGAATCACAGCTATCACAACTCCAGCTTCAAGGGATCCAGTGCCCTCCTTTGGCCTCAGCAGGCATTGCACACATGTGGTACACTCATACACGCAGGCAAAATACTCATACACATAAAAATCATAAATCACTGGGTGTGGTGGCGCATGTCTTTAATCCCAGCACTCGGGAGGCAGAAGCAGGCAGATCTCTGTGAGTCCAAGGCCTGCCTGGTCTACATAGTGACTTCCAGGACAGCTGGGGCTACAGGGAGACCCTGTCTTAAAAGGTCAAAAAAAAAATCGTAAATCTTTTTGTCTGCTTGAGACAAGGTCTCCCTGTAGTTCCAGCCGGCCTGGAGCACACTATTTAGACCAGGCTGGCCTCGAACTCAAAAAGATCCACCTGCCTCTGCCTCCCGAGTGCTGGGTTAAAGGTGTATACCACCACGCCCAGCCATAAATCTTTATAAAAAGAAAAAAATCCACCTGAGGTGGACCTCTTTCTCATCTGAGATGAGACTTGACTCAAGGACATCAGACTTGACTCAAGCAAGGCAAATCATTCTGGCTTTTCCAGGTTTCCAATTTTTTATTATTATTTTTTAAGTACACTGTATTAGGAATTGATTTGTAGAGAAAATCTGTCTTGCTCTTGAGCCTCAGCAAGTTTCTTGTACAGGTTAGCCCTGTCACTGCACAGGCCTCAACTCAGGTCAGCCTTTCTTTACTTTCCTGGTATGCTGTAGTAGGTGGAAGCGCTTTGCCTGTGCAGTCTAAAATCAGGCAGGTGTGGCCAGAAGCAATTGTGCATCTGACCCAGCTATGTGGGCCAAGAAGAGAAATTGCTTGAGCCCAGGAGTTTGGGACCAGCCTCAGCAACGTAAAAATAGTCAAGTCAGTCATGTTCCGATACATCACTAACCCTGTAACAGTCTGCTTACCCCCTTTCAGTTTCCTCATCTGCTATGTGGGTGTATGAAAGTTCTTTCCTTTACCACCCCACTTTGTTTTCATTAGATTTTAGATGTAGGGACCATGGCTTCCCAACCAGAACTCCTCTGATTTTCATCAAATGTCTTAGTGCTTTATGCAGGTTAGTCTCCTTCTTGTCAGCCTCTCTGACAGAAAATTCATCCTGGGGCTAAAAAGATGAGATGTTTCAGTGGTTAAGAGCACTGGCTTTGGATCTCTGAGTTGAAGACTAGCTTGGTCTACATAGTGAGTTCCAGATCAGCTGGGGCTACAGGAAGACCCTGTCTCAAAAAGACCAAAAAAAAAAAAAAAGCACTGGCTGCTCTTGTAGAGGCCTCAGGTTCCCTGTGCCCACATAGCAACTAACAACCACCTATAACTCTAGTTCTAGTTCCTGGGGAATCCAGTGCCCTCTTCTGATCTCCACTGGCATTGTAGGGCACAGGTGCACTTACGGCAATACACTCATACACATAAAAATAATAAAAAAAATTTTTAAAAGATTTGTGGGGCTGGAGAGATGGCTCAGCGGTTAAGAGCACTGACTGCTCTCGCAGAGGACCCAGGTTCGATATCCAGCACCCACTTGGCGGCTATGAACTGTCCTTAACTCCAGTTCCAGGGAAATCCGAAGCCCTCTTCTGACCTCCGTGGCATTGCACGACACGGGTGCACTCAACATACATGCAGGCAATACACTCATTCACATAAAAATAATAAAATATTTAAAAAAAAAAGATTTGCATTTGCATGAAGGTACCCCAAGGATGAGGAAACAGATTCCCAAGTAGCCTGTTCCACTGTGAGGTCACCAAAGCTGTTCGAAATTTCTTCCTTCCATTGAACAAAAATTTCTCTTTCAAACACTGGTTCTCGTCTGCGATTCCTAAGCATATCATAACAAGTCAGCTTCCTCCTCTGGGTTCTAATAACCTTGAAATGTTATGTATGAGGTGTATGTATGAAATATTATGTATGTATGTTATGTTTTCACTTAAGAAAAACTAGCTCTGTGCCAGAACTGTGTTCTAGAACCTCAGCATTCTGAGAAACTTGCATGTAACCAGTTGAACAGTCATTGAAGCTTATCACCTTCAATTTCATAAAATGTGGTTTCCAGCATGAAGTTGCGCCTTCCAGAAAGGCACATAGTATTCTTGACTTGATTCTGACTACATAACAAAATGAAGTTTTTATTTCTCCCATCTATACATTCCAGACATGGGAAGTATTTGGGCCTATTAGATAAAAATCTGAAAGGAAATTGACCATCTGCAAAACGGTGTAGTCTTACATTGATAACTAGTTTCTTCTCTGTTAATTTGGCTTTTTGTGACAGACTCCTGTGTTTCCCAGACTGGCCTCAAATTTGTAATCCTCCAGCCTCAGCCTCTCAAATGTTGGGATTAGAGACATTTACCACCACACTTAGAAGTACTGTTTCCTATGGGGCTTTTTTTTTTTTTTTTTAAATCCTGAAGACCTTAAAATAATAGCTGACACAGGTATCTCTCTCAGAAAAGCAAAATGGTACCACTGAAACCAAATAAAAATTTTCCTATCTGTGACGTAGCCTTATCAAACGAAGTTCTTTTACTCAAGGTTTCCTTCATCCTTTGGCCCTATGAGGTGAGCAGAGAAACCTAGTTACCGAGTACCTTGAAGACAGGTCTGTGGAACAGGGGTGTTAGTAACAACCTCCCAGAAGTTGAGCTAACCAACCGTCCTCATTCTCTTCCAGCACAACATGCCCTTCTGGAGGATCACAAACCACGGGGATCTAGTGTCCCTTCACCAGGCTTTGGAGCTTGACTTTCTCTAAGAACTGGAATGTGGAGCCTTCCTTGTGAGCTCCTCTTCGCTTCCGAAAGGAGCCAGAGGCCAGAACCAACTGAGAACTCTCTCTCCTGTATGTCTCGGTCTTTCTTTGTGTGTGTCTCAGTGTCTCTCTGTCCGTCTCTGTCTCTGTGTCTCTGGAATGCTGGCGAGAACACAATCAGAACCAACAGCTGCAATTTCTGCTGAGTGAGCTGCTGCCAGGGTCCACTGTTGTGCAGAACTAGGAGGCCATTGATAGAACAGTAGACTCCCTACAGCTCCAGGGCCTTCATTCTTCTGTTTCCCTTCAAAAAGGAAGAACAAGAAAAGGAAATTCTTGGCACAGTTGCACTCTTGGTCCATGAACAGATTGAGAGCTGCCCTTAACTCACGGTGACGAAAAATGCATCAAGTTGCATAAGAACATCTTTTGTAATCTTAGCTATAGAACTTCCTTTCCAGCAAATGGGTATGTTATTTTCGCAGGTGAGGGTCTTGTCTCTGAAGCAGCGCCCCCCCCCCACCTTTTTGTATTAAAGGGGTATGTAAAGTTTCCATGACAATAATGATGAAGATGTCTAAAATACCTCTCTGACTGTAGCACCTCCTTCACTCCAGTGGCTGCTCGCTAGGATGGCTCTTCTCTGTCCCTGGCGCCCTGGACACTCATTAACTTTAGACTTTGGCGTCTCCCATCCTGTAAGCCTCAGTCTCTTTGCCAGTCCTCCTTCCTCTATAACCAAATGGCACAACCTTGGAAATACCTTCCCATATATAAGAAATATAAGCCTTTAGCTTGACTCTGATTCAGAGGCTCTGTCCCTGGAGGCTTAGCCTCCAAACTGGAGAGAAGGGACTTGGGCTCCTTAGGAATTTCATCTGTTTGGGCTCTTGAGATAAGATTCTACCTAGTACTCCTTCATAGAAGCACCCCTTCCCACCAGGCGCTCACTCTGGCCTCCTCCTCTTCAGTCATCAAATCCTGGGCTCTGACACTTCCTGCCCTCTATTTCATGAATCCGTCTATCTCCAAGCAGCTCTAGCCAGTCCCTGCTGATGGTTTCAAGAAGTCAGAAAGTCCAAGAAGGACTGGAGAGAGGCTTAGTGGTTAAGAGCACTGGCTGCTCCCAAAGAGGACCCTGGGCTCTGTTCCCAGTACCCATCAGTTGTCAGCTAACAGCTGTCCATAATTTCAGTTCCAGAGGGTCCAGTGCCCTCTTCTGTCCTCTGTGGGCATTGCACAACACAGGTGGTACACTCATACACATGAAACATAAGTTTAAGAGCAGGCTGATCCCTGCTTCCTTTGAGGCAGCCCTTCAGCTCCTTGCAGTAATCCTAGCATGTGTTTACCCAGATCTTTGCCAGGAATTGAACAGCAGATAGCTAGAATCCAAACCCAATTTCCTATGAAACACCCCACTTCTCAGATCCCATGCTGAAGTGGGAAGCCAGAAGTGCAGGAAGATTTTCCTGAGTTAAATGCCTGAAAATTTAATCCCAAGCCAGATGCAGGAGCACCTCTCAGGCTCCCCCTAGGAAGCTTAGAGGGAAGCCTGACCCTAGTCCTAGCCTTCCAGCCCAGCCGCTTGTTGGATGTACCATCCCTCCAGGACCAACATAGATACCTGCACAATTGGGTGAAACCTCCCTAGAGCTAAGGAAATAATGGCCTTGGTCCTCAGGAAGTCCTTAACCAACCCCAGCTATAATCGCTGTCCCCAGAGATGCTGCAATACAAAGAGGCAAGATTTCCTCCCAGTGCCAGGCACCAGCTGAAAGGCTGGCACGCTGTCTTCAGAACCGTTGAGATAGTACTTCTGAGACCAGCAGCTGAGGAAGGGTTGGACAGGAGCTAAAGTTGGTGCTCCATCTTGGCCACCTCTTTGGCTTTGTTTCCAGGTAGGGTTGGGAACAGGGAGTCTGAGCCAGTCCTTCCTAAGCTGCATTTAGCAAATTGTCCTGGTGCTGCCCTGCCTTGCTCTATGATCCATCTTAGAAAACTCTTTCAGGCTCCTGACCCTCCCCTCACTGCCAGTGTATTTTCTAGTCCTGGACAAAGGCCACCTGTTGGTGCTGTGTTTCAGATTTAAGACTGCCAGGTGGTGACACCCATCTGCAAGCAAGTATACACACAAACACTTGGCTGTTAGACTATAACTTGGACTCCCTTTCAATGACCATTTTCCTCTGCCCTGACTGCCCAATTGTGCTCTTTCTTTACAAAATGAACTTGGACTTGGCCAAGACAGGCAAGGAGGTACTCCAAGCTGAGCAGCCTCTGCTCTGGCAGCTGCTGCCCATAATCAGCAGACAAGGGAGAGCTTCTTGGTATCTCCTCCAAAAGAAATTGTCCAAGTAATATTCCTTTGTGTTCTCCTCCCTCCCACCACAGCCTGGGAAGGAAGATTAAGTGGGCAGCATGAGAGCTGTTGGAAACAGGGGCCAAAGGAAACTGAGTCCTTTCATCAAGAGGTCCCCCCAAAAAAAAGGCAGTCCTTACTGGGAAGAGTACCCCTGAAATAGGCAGACGGTGAGTCCTTTCCCAACCAGAGTCTATGTCCTAGATGGTCATAGGACATCTCGTGATGGGGACTCTTAAGAGTGTTTCTGGAGTTGCAGAAATGTTCGGGGATATGAGGTGGCTTCACTTTCGAATGTAAAACTGACTGTGCCTTAGCGTCACCCTGTCCATAGTCTCTGGGGCAGCTGGTGGTGTCCAGAAGAGTGTCTGGAGAGTGCTCCAGAGTTAGGTGCCTACTTGGGCTTTTGTTTGATTTGGGGGTGTTCCTGTATTCTCTGCAAGTTGGCTGCCAAAGCTGGTATCCCGAGACTTGCCATAGCTTGTCCACAGTCTTCACAAATTCACCTTCACAGCTCCAGGTAGACTCTGATGAAAAACTCCAGCTACAAGCACGTGGGCTTAGATGCTCACTACCTTGAGTGGAGGGGCACCCTTTGTGAGTAAGCTGTTCCTTACTGCTGACCTGGTCTCCATTAAGAATTTAGGACTCATCAGATATATACTCATTGTAGAAGCCAATTTAGAATTCTGAGTGTCTCAACTATCTTAACCACAAGAGGGGGGCGGGATTAATTGTGTCCCGGCCCTTTCTGCAAGCTACCTGCCTGTCTTCTACTCTGAGTCAGCTCTAGCAAGCCAGGCTCCCTGGCTGGCTCCTAGGGCACTGATGGGAGCCATCCCATTAAGGACAATTTCTGCTTTGAACACCACTCTCCCTCTGGACTTGAGATGCCTCTTTAGCAGCAAAAGGCATTGGTTGGGTTGGATATATTTATGTGACTGCGGGCATTTGTGGCTGTAGAATCCTTGACCATAATGTTATATGTAATGGGAACTATCTTATAAACTTGAAAAAAATAAAGTTTTTATTTTCTATACAGTTTTCTCCTGTGTCTTTTCTGAATAGGATTAGCCCAGTTGCCCCGCAGTACAGTGTCCTAATCAGGACTTCACTAAGATAAAGAAGATGCCATCCTTTCAATAACTGGATCATTTGTTTCACAAAAAAATAGTCATAATGATCATTTGATATACACAGGAATCTGGTTTTTAAAAAAAAATTGCAAGGAAACATTTATTTCTGAATTGTTTCTAAAATAGTGCTTTTTTAGGTGTAAAACTGAGTAAGATTTTTTGTGCTGTCAGATGTGCTAAACTTTAATAGAGAAGTTGATACTTTCTGTGCTAAGCATAAACTGCAAAACCAATAAAACTAACCAACATGAAACCTCCTTGGATTTGGCCTGATTTCGTGTCCCATCAACTACTTTCTCTTCATTCTTCCACATTTGTGTCTGACTGGCCCCCACTGGTTTGGGAAATAGTCAAGAAGCATTTTTTTTTTTAATTCCAATGAAGGAAATTAGAATTTGGGTCTAGATTACAGACTATAGGATCAGTTTTTCCTGCAGAAAATAGGAGGTAGCTGGACGTGGTGGCACATGCCTTTGGTCCCAGCACTTGGGAGGTAGAGGCAAGCAGATCTCTGAGATCAAGGCCAGCCTGGTCTAAATAGCAAGTTTCAGGCCAGCCAGAACTACACGCTGTAGCAAAATCCTGTCTCAAAAGACCCTGTCTCAAAAAACCAAAACATTGGAAGTGGCCTTATATTCTGACTATGAGATCTCTTGTTACTAGACATGGATTTTGAGCAGCTGAAGCAAACCTGTTCATTGCTGTCTGCACACTTGCCTAGAAGTACAGGTTTGAGGTGTGGATTGCTTTCCAAACCCAAAGAGTAAGCATCTCACCCTAATCTAACAAAACATGAAATACCTCTTACAAACTTCGGTGGCATGTAAAAATTTAAGGTGGTTTATGTTTTCAAAAACAGGTTTCTTTGGGCTTTTGTTTTTGAGACAGTCTTTCTGTGCGCCAGCTGGCCTGGAACTCACTATGAATAATCCAGGCTGGCCACATCTCACAGAGATCTGCCTGCCTCTGCCTCCCAGGTGCTAAGATTAAAGGCACACACCACCATACCCAGCAAAAACAGGTTTATTTACATTTAAGGGTTCTCACATGGTACTTACACCTGTAATCCCAGCACTCAAGAGGCTGAGGCAGGATTATCATGAGTTCCAGGACAACCTGAGGTATAATGTGAAATCCTGTCTCAAAAAACCAAAAACAAACTTGGGAGGCAGAGGCAGGTGGATCTCTGTGAGTTCAAGGCCAACCTGATCTACATAGTTCCAGGACAGCTGGGGCTATAGGGAGACCCTGTCTCAAACCAAAAAAAAAAAAAAAAAAGTTAATGGGAATCTTCATGGAAAATTTCAAGAGGTTGTCACTGTAATCCTAAAAATGCTCAATTCTGGGGACTGGAGAGATGGCTCAGTGGTTAAGAACACTGGTTGTTCTTGTAGAAGACATGGGTTCGTATCCCAGCACCCACACGGCAGCTAACAACTGTCCATAACTCCAGTCCCAGGGGATCCAACAGCCTCTTCTGACCTCTGTGGACATTGCACGACACAGGTGCACTTACCTACATGCAGGCAATACACGCACATAGATTTTTTAATTTTTAAATGCTCAATTCTGTAAACTTGAAGAATATATGAAGTGGGACATGGTAGCACATGCCTTTAACTACATCACTTGAGAGGCAGTGGCACGCTAGTCTACATGTAACTCCTTTAAAAAATTTTTTTTTCCAAGCACCAAGTCCTAGCACTTGGGAGGCAGAGGCAGGCCAATCTCTTGAGTTCAAGGCCAGCCTAGTCTACATAGTTCCAGGCCAGCTGGAGCTACAGGGAGACCCTGTCACAAAAAGACCAAAAAAAAAAAAGTTGCACCTAAGTCAACTTCCAGGGCCTGTACCAATATGAAGGGCTCTCGGGCCCAGGTGGGGCCCTTCTATGATAGGAATAATAAATTACGTTTTAATGACACCGACCAGTTTGGAAGATTACACAAAGTTTTAATAATAACAATACTGTTAAAAGCACCACCTGTGTCCTCACTTGCAGCAACACATTTGCATACACTGTCATCCTTTCATGTAGACTCTGAGGTAAGGGGTACACTGGCCAAAATGAAAAATACTCAATGGATTGTGCAGGGCCTGGACCACAGGTCCATAAGGCACTTGGTTCAAAGGTGGCCTGCTGCACCAAGGCACTGAAGGGCTAGTAGAACCGCCCAAAGTCAGACATCGCTGGTCTCCAGTCTTTGAAGTAGGTAGGGGAAGATCTTCGGCTAGGGTGGCAGAGAATCTCAAGGTTAGAATGGTGCTCCCAGAACATAAAAGTGCTCTCGGTAAGCCGGGCGTGGTGGCTCACACCTTTAATCTCTGCACTTGGGAGGGAGAGCAGGCTGTGAGTTCAAGGCCAGCCTGGTCTACAGTTGGGGCTACAGGGAGACCCTGTCTCGACGAAAAAAAAAAAAAAAAGTGCTCTCAGTAAACGTTTGATGAATAAAGTAAATTAATGGGGTGGGGTAGGGAAGAATTCTAGAGAACATCCCCCAGAGGCCCAGAGCCTTCTGGAACAGGACTGTGAGAACCCAACAATGGGCAGCTCTGGGGGCAACAGCTCCACTAGCTGCAGAGGACGAGAAAAGGAGTCTTTTCCTCCAAAAATGGCTTATATATAATTGGCCCCCTTGGCCCTTCCACCTCCCTTACTATAACCAAGTTGGACCCTGCCTCAAAGGACCCCATTCACTTCTCCCTTCCCTGGCAAAGCAGCCTATCTGGCCTTGGAGAAAAAGTTCCGTGCCCACTGAGTAGCACGCTTGTTCGGAAACAGCTGACTGCATTCTGAAGGAAGGAAACTCCGAGCTCCATCCACATGATCAGGCTCCGGGCAGCTAGGGTGCAGCCAGTGGTAGTAGACCAGACGCAAAGCCAGACCCAGGAAGAAGCACACACCTCCTCCTATGATCAGCCACATCTGCAATGAGTCCCCATTGGGCAGCCAGGTACTATGTGTCACCCAGACAGTCACCAGCAGAACATTGTCACTTAAGATGAACATCAAGTGGATGGTGGCCCGGCCTCGGGTATGGCCATCAGACACGTTGAACCAGGAGAAATAGAGGGTGGTGGCCACCACAGCCCGGTACAGCCACTCAGAGCAGGGGTCTGGCATGAAGTCTGTGCCCTGAAGCCAGACCCAGAGCAGCAGCACCAGCCACAGGCCGAGGAAGTGCAGGGGCACATAGTGGGGGAAGAGAGCTGAGAACAGGGCAATGGCCAGGACGCGGGGCCCCAACAAGAGCAGGTTCCACAGGAAGTAGATGGCAGAGGAGCGCAGGCCCAGTTGGTGCTTAGAGGGAAGGCAGGTGCGCAAGGCGCGGTGGTAGTCCAGCAGGGCCCACGAGATGCCCAAGTAGGATGTTACGATCCCAACCCCTACCAAGAGCAAAAAGAAACAAGTGAGCCTTGTGGGCAGCCTGCCTGGCACCCCCCAGGGTTCACAGGAACCCTCTTAGCAACCCTGAGATAGGTCTTGGAACCCTCAAGTTGTTCAAGGGACAACTGCAGAGGGAGAACATTCAGTGAGTTCACACAGCCAAACAAGGACAGAGGGCTTTACTTACAAGCACTATCCTTGAATGATAGTCACTCAGCATTCAGCACCCCTGGACCTTAGCTGTGCGCTAAGGGTCTTCTAGAAAGACCCTTTCTTTCCCATTAGAGTCCAATCTCCAGGGTTCTAAAAGTTAGCAGTCCCAGCTCCCCCTTTTTCTGTGACAGAAAGGGATCCAGAAATCCCATGGAGGGGCAGCAGGTGGCCAGCTGCAGCTGTCCTCAGGACTGGGAGGAACTTCCTGCTGCAAGGTAGAAGGCTCCCTGCTCCTCTCCCCTCCCCACCCCTCTATGTGCAGCCTGGCCCATTGTCCTAACTGGCTAAGATGCAGAAGTTCATGATGAGGATCCTATCCTACCTCCACATCACCCACACCAGATCCTCCAAGGAAAGACAGAAGTGGCCTGGGTATACCTCTACAATGTGAATTCCCCTATCTCTCCTACCTCATTCATCCAACAGTTTACTAAAACCTACTATGTGCTCGGAATCTGTTCACAGCCTGGCATCAAATCTGTGGCTACCACCATCTCTAACTGACCCAGACCTACCCCTTGCCCTGCACACCCCAACTTGAATAACTGCTGGGGTTTCCCATCCTCACCCCACTCTGCTGCAAGGTATCCTGTAATAACCCACCCTCCTCACTAACGGCAGGGATTACCTGTTTGCTAATCTCTGAGCTCCTGGAGGAAGGATAGAAAGCAGATTCTGCTCACCTGGAGTGCCCAGCTAGACCAATATGTGGTACATAATAAATATTTGCTAAATAAAATGTTGAGAAAGGGACAGGAGAGATGGCTCAGAGGTCAAGAGCATTTGCCCCACATGGCAGCTAACGGGATCAAATGCTTTCTTCTTCCATAGGCAGTGCACGAATGTGATGCACCTAAAATAAATTTAATTATGTATCTTTTTTTTTTTTTTTTTTGAAACAGGGTTTCCCTGTAACACCAGCTGGTCTGGAGCTCACTATGTAGACCAGGCTGGTCTGCCTCCCAAGTGCTGGGATTAAAGGTGTGCATCACCATGCCTGACCAAAGAAAATTATAAATATGTTGAGAACAATCTCTGTCCTCATGCACAACCTAGCGTATAGACTGTCTCCACCTAGATTTAATGTCAAACACCACCCTCACATAAACATCATGTGCCTAGTGAATGTTGAACAACCAGGGCAAGTCACCTTTCGGCACCTATTTCCTCTTACGGAAATGGAGATGGGTTCTCCCAGGTCACACATACTATGAGTGACAACAGGGTGGGGACTGGGCTCCCTGCAAAACCATAGGATGTACAGCAGGGATCTTGAGGTATACTGAAGTGGGAGCTCTGAATCACATGTGGTAAGAGCCTTGCTTGGCCCCTGGCTGGTTCCTTGGCCTTAGGCAAGTCACTCTCCTACAAGGGGCCTCACTGTACAAACTTTTCCCAGGGTTTGCCTGCCAGCCTCTGCCACCTGCCTCTTCCGGTCATTCAGTCCACTTGTGTAACTATTTGTTTTACAGTCTATCATCCAAAGTGGGTGGAGGCTCTGTGAATCTTATTCACTGCTATGTCTCCAGCACAGTAACAGACAAAAAAGAAACTCAATAAAAGCTTTGTGTATGGGCTGGGCAGGCATGGCATTAGTCCTAGCACTCAGTAGGCAGAGGCAGGCAGATCTCTGTGAATTCAAGGACAGTGTGAGTTCCAGGCAAGCCAGGGCTACAAAGTGAAACTCTGCCTCATTAAAACAAAAACAAAAACAAAACAAAAAAAGCTTCATGTTTTAAAGGTGCTCAATAAATCATCTATTAACTAACAAGTCTTTGTTCATTACCATGAACATAGTAAAAGTTAGGGCCAGCAAGATGGCTCAGTGGGTAAAGGTACTTGCTATAATGCCTGATGACCTGAATTCAATTCCAGAGCCCCAAATGGTAGGAGAGAACTTACTCCCACAAGTTGTCCTCTGACTGTTACACACATGCCATGACACGTATGTCATGGCACACATGTGTGCACACACAAACATAATTTTTTTTAAATGTAAATGGTGAGCTGGGTGTAGTGGTGCAGGCCTTTAATCCCAGCACTTGGGAGACAGAGGCTGGTGGATTTCTGTGAGACTGAGGCCAGCCTGATCTACATAGTGAGTTCCAGGCCAGCTGGGGCTACAGGGAGACCCTGTCTCAAAAAGACCAAAAGAAAAAAAAAATGTAAATGGTAAAAATTCTAATTAGTATTTATTGCCAGCATGGTGGTTCATACCTGTAATTCCAACACTTGAAAGGCAGACACAAGAGCACCCTGCAAGTTAAAGGCCAGACTAGGTCTACATATCAAGTTACAAGCCTGCCAGTCAAGCCTACAGTAACATACACATAGCTCAGTTGGTAAAGTGCTTACCACTCAAATATAAAGACCTTAGTTTGGATCCCCAGCACCCATGTAAAAATCTGGGTGTAGTAGAATGTGCCTGCAATCCCAGTCCTGAGGAGATGGAGACAGGAGGGTCCCTGGGGTTTGCTGGCCAGTCTAGTAAAATCAGTGGGCTCCAGGTTCACCTAAAGACTCTTGTCTCAAAAAATAAGCAGGGGCTGGAGGGATAGCTCAGGGGTTGAGAGCCCTTGTTCCTCTTGAAGAGGAAGGACCCAGGTTCAATTCCCAGCACCTACATGGCAGCTAACAACCATTCATATCTGCAGCTCCTGGTGATCTAACACCCTCTTCTGGCCTCTGCAGGCAATGCATTCATGGGTACACTTACACACATGTAGGCAAAACACTCATATACATAAAATAAAAGTAAGCCGGGCATGGTAGTGCTAGCCTTTAATCCCAGCACTCAGGAGGCAGAGGCAGGAGGATCTCTGTGAGATCAAGGCCAGCCTGGTCTACATAGTAAGTTCCAGGTCGGCTGGGACTGCAGGGAAATCCTGTCTCAAAAAGACAAAAAAAATAAATTTTTTTAAATTTTTTTAAGATGGAGAGCCCCTGAGGAAGACACTCAACACTGACCCTGGCCTCCACATGCACACACATGCATTTGCAAACATGCACAAAAACATGTACACAGGCATGCACACACACACACACACACACACACACACACACAACAATTAAGATTTATTATGTACCAGCGCTGGGCTTTTTAAGCAACACCCCATTCCATCTTCTCATCCTATGAGGTAGGAACATTTATTATGCCTGTGTTTCAGATGAGAACAAACTGACGGGTTGAGTCACTTTTCTAAGCTTTGAATCCAGATCCACTGCCTAAAGCTCCAGACTCCTGTCTGCCTATCAGCCTTTTTAGAAGTGTGAAAAACGCTGCTAACTTTGGAGGGCTATCAAAGGGGGTGGCCACTGGTCCAGAACTCACACTGGTAGTACTGAGCCCGGCCACTCTGCAGCACGATGGCCAGCACCAGCGTGAGCTGTGGCGTCGTCTCCAGGAAGGTCTCGAAGAGCCGAAGCATGCTGATATCCATGGACAGGAAGTTGGAATAGTCCAAGTCAAACTCGGAGGGCGCCTCCTGCTGCCACAGGGACAAACCCTGTTGCAGCCCGTGCATGCACCTAGGGAGTTCAAACAGACATCCAGTGGACCAGGTCAGGGTTCTGTGAAGGCCCCCATCTCCTACCCACCAGGTTCTGGCAGGCAGGTTCCAATCCTAGCTTGTCACTTAAATGCTATAGAACCAGGGTTAGAAAGATGGCTCAGTGGTTAAGAGTACTGGCTGTTCTTGCATAAGACCTGGATTTGATTCCCAGCATCTAGATGGTGGCTAACAACCATAACTCCAATTCCAGGGAATTCAACTCAGTCTTCTAACAGCATTGCATGACACAGGTGCACTTACATACATGCAGGCAATACACTCATACACATAAAATAAAAATAAATTTAAAAGATGATATGGAACCTTGGGCAAGTCATTTAACCTCTCCACTCCTCCCAAGAGCCCCACTTTTGAGATGGGGAAATGGTATTAAGAAGCAAATAAGGGCAGGGCAAGGTGGGGCATAAATTTAATCCCAGCACTCAGGAGGTACAGGCAGGTAGATCGAGGCCATCTGGTCTACATACCGAGTTCTGGGTCAGCTGGCACTAAAGGGAGACCCTGTCTCAAAAACAAAAAATAAAAGAAGCAAATAAGGGCCTGGAGAGATGGTTCAGTGGCTAAGAGCTCATACTGCTGTTGCAGAAGACCAGAGTTCAGTTCCCAGCACCCACAAGGCGGCTAACTCCGCAACTCCAGTTCCAGGGGATCCAACACCCTCTGTTGACCTCCACAGGCATTACGCAACACAGGTGCACTTATACACAGGCAGGCAATACATTCATACACGTAAAATAAAAACCCTTTTTTTTTTTTTACTTTTTGAGACAGGGTCTCCCTGTAGCCCCAGCTGTCCTAGAACTCACTATGTAGACCAGGCTGACCTTGAACTCACAGAGATCCTCCTGCCTCTGCCTCCTGAGTGCTGGGATTAAAGGCGTGCTCCACCATGGCTGGAAAAAAAAATACTTTTTAAGGAAGAAAAAAGTAGGGGCTGCAGAGATGGCTCAGCAGTTAAGAATTCTTGCAGAAGACCCGGGTTTGAATACCAACACCCACATGGCAGCTAACAACTGTCCATAACTCCATTTCCAGCGGATCCGACAGCCTCTTCTGACCTCCGAGGGCATTGCATGACATTGCACTTACCTACATGCAGGCAATACATGTATACACATAAAATTAATTAATTTTAAAAAAAGAAACAAGTAAATGGGAAGGATCAGGATTAAATTCGACACTGAATTTGAAAGGCATGATATACAGTTGTTCACGGTAGCAGTTCCAGGGTTCCATATACCTAAGAATCTGCCATGCACAAAGACCTTCTGAGCACAGGCAAATCAGACTCACACCCACTTTAAATTTTGTGGTGCTGAAGACTGAACCCAGGGCCTGCACATGCTAAGGAAGTACTCTACCACAAGCCAAGGTCAGACTGTGCTCTGGGAAGGGCAAGTTCTCCACAGAGAAGAGAAAGGGTCAGAGAGGTCACGGCAGAAGAAGGTGTGCATTTAAAGGGGCTGCTGAACAGCTCAGGAAGAGGGGGCATGAGTCTACCCCAGGTAGTGGGAATGGAGATCCAGAGGCTGGGACAGACCTGAGAAAGCCACTGGCATGAGGCAGGGAGCGGAGGCGCTGCCAAGGTCTCCCCATCCAAAGATGATCTCACGAGGCTTCTAGGAGTGGAGCCCATTCCCTTGCTTCCCATCTATTCATCACGCATTGACCATCATCACTTCCTTGAGTGGCCCTCATAACCCATTGAGAAACAACCATACAGGGTCCTCTTGTCTTGAAGTCTCCCAATGGGGGCTCCTACCTCAGCCTTGTCACAGGCAAGAACAGAAACTGTCTTCAAACCCAAAGTTCAGCAGAAACAGAAGATGCATCAACTAGGGAAAAAAATTCTTAAAGGCACACGAGGTAGTCAATAAACTCAGGGCCCACAGACCTGAGTAACTGTGCCCTTCATACTGGCATTGGCTTTACGATGGTTATACAACCCCTCAGGCAAAATGGATCATTCAAAGTGCAGGTTTGCCAAGGCAAGATCTCAGAAGAATTTTCTTTTTTTCTTTTTTTGGTCTTTTTGAGACAGGGTCTCCCTGTAGCCCCAGCTGTCCTGGAACTCACTATGTGGACCAGGCTGGCCTTGAACTCACAGAGATCCACCCGCCTCTGCCTCGAGTGCTGGGATTAAAGGCATGCACCACCATGCCCCGTGATCTCAGAATTTAAAAGTGGGCTCCATAGCAGAATCTGGATCCAGCCAGCCCAACCTAGCCCAGCCCAGCCCAGCCTACATAATGATGCTTTGCCTTCATCCTGTGACCCTAACCCCTTGGTTTTAGTTTCTCCCACCTCCAGTCCCTACCAATTCAGAAAAGGAGCACAGTCCACATACATTTTCCAAGACCCAGTCAGTGCTCAGCCCTGGCTGACTCCAGGGACATTGATGAGTCGGATCCCATCTCTGTCCTCCTTCTCTTGCTCAGTCCAGGGAGGGGAAGCAAATGTCCAAAGGGAGGGGGAAAAAAAAAAACTGAGAAAGAGGGAAGGAGCACTGTCCTGGGAGTCAAGGCTGCTGTCACTCACAGGTGGCCGAGGTAATCATGAAGCTAGCTGGGCCACAACAATTAGTCATTTGCCTTTAATCCACTCAGAACACCAATATCAACAGTTGCCTTTCACGGCAGTGCCCAAGGTCCGACTCACGATAAAAGGACAAGTCCATGTTGAACAGACAAGCCAGGGCTTTGCCAGGGACGTCCACTGTGGCTCACTTCTGGCTTTCCCCCTTGCCCTTTGGATGTGACTCTGCCACTGTTTTATACAGAAATCAGCGCAGAGAAATGCAGAAAGGTCACCTAAGTCCCTGAACCCCTTCTTTCTTCCCTGCGCCTCAGTGTCTTCACCTGTGCCCAGAGTAGGGCTAGACTCGCTCAGAGGACTGGGTGCCCGGGGTCCCCTTTCCTCCAAGAACTGGGCGCTCACCTGTACAGGTAGCCGAGCTGCAGCAGGTGCAACAGCGCTAGGTAGCGGCTGGAAGACTGCGACCCGTGCAGCTCGGCGTGGTCGGCGCGCAGCCAGACCCAGCTGAAGATCTGTAACGCCACCGAAGCGAGGCCCAGCAGCGCCAGTACCAGCGCGGCCCACAGGTAACGGCCACTGAGCACATACTGGCCTACGGTCCACAGATCCGCAACCAGGTCCAGCAGGAAAGCGACGGTGCCCACAACGCCCAGGACCAGGTCCCGAAGGAGAGCGGCGCGGGGCGACAGCGGCATGACCCTCCACGCCGGACTTCCAGCCCGCCACCTGCCCTCGGGGCAGCCGGGGTGGCTGGGGTAGGAAGAAGGCGGGAGCCGCCCTCGGGGCCGCCCGGACTACAGGGCGGGACTTCCACCTCCCGCCCTGTCCGGGGAGGAGCCAGGCTGCGCACGCCCGCACAGTGAGCTCGGCCCGCACGCCGCACAGGCCCCGCCCCCATGCGGACCCCGCCCCGACCCCAAGGCCACGCCCCCGAGAAGACACTGGCCAAGCCCGCCGCCTAGACCCCAAACCTCAGGCCCTCCCCGCAAGGCCCCGCCCCTCCCTGACCCCGCCCCGATAGGCCCCGCCCCCGGGCCCACCCACTGCCCGGCCCCTTTCCGAACCAGACCTCGCCCCTCCCCTGGGTCCGCCCTGGGTCCTCCCAGGGCCCCGCCCCCTGGCCTGACCTGACCGGGCCTTGACCAAACAGACACCCGAACAGGCCTGGGGAGCCCCAGACCCACCACACACAGACTATGATTTGACACCTGAAGGCCCTGGAGGTGGCAGCTGTGATCTCTCTTCTGCTCGGCTACAAAAACCAAACCCAGGTCTTGCAGAAAAACCGGTTCAATTCCCAGCACAGACATGATGGCTAACAACCGTCCATAACTCCACTTTCAGGGGATCTGACAGCCCTCTTCCTATGTCTGTGGGTACTGCACGACACAGGTGCACTTACACACATGGAGGCAATACACACATAAAATAAAAATACATAAAATAAGCCGGGCGTGGTGGCACACACCTTTAATCCCAGCACTCCGGAGGCAGAGGCAGGTGGATCTCTGTGAGTTCAAGGCCAGCCTGGTCTACATAGTACATTCCAGGACAGCTGAGGCTACAGGGAGACCCTGTCTCAAGACCAAAAAAAAGTCAAAAAATATACATATATTTTAAAAACCAAACAAGAAAACTTTGTTGTTTCTTTGATTTTTGAGACAAGGTCTTACCTTGTAGCCCTGACTAGCCTGGACTTGCTGTATAGACCAAGTTGGCCTCCAACTCACAGAGATTGGCCTGCCTCTGCCGATGCTGGGATTAAAGGCCTTCAGGGGAAAGCTTTTTAAAAGGTACATTCTGATGGGATTTTGAAAACCATGTGGGTGCCCAGTTCAGGACCCTAAGAGGGAGTAAATACACCAAAAGCACTGGATCAACTGGGGCCACCTTCCTGGGGACTACAGTGATCCAAGTGGGAGTAAGTTCGAGTTGTGGCTACCAAGGAAAACAATGCACAGAGTAAGATGTACCCGGTCTTTGTTTTAGCTCATGATGCATGAAAAGAGAAGGAAATGAGCTTCCGGAAGGATCTCTGGTGCTTGGTGTCCTGGCTCCAATATCCCATCCCAGTTTACTCCCCTCAGACAGGGGAGATGGTTCAGTTTTTCATGGGTGATGCTGCCCCATTTTACCAGGAGAAATATGAATCCAGAAAGAGGGACAGTCTGGCAGCACCGAGGGTGATAGCCCCACCAACAGGTACAGGCTTAGCACAGTCAGCAGTAGCTGGAGACCAGGCACAAGCCTGGTGCCAAGGCCATGCAGGCAGGCAGCATAAGTGTTGAAAGCCACATGTTGCATGGCACACACATGTTCCTTGCGGCAGGTGTCCCTACAGGCCGACTCGTCATACCCGACTGAGTTATAGATGTAGTAGCGTTGCAGCATGTGATGGTCACTAGAGATGCGGGTAAGTGCTGTGTGCATGGAGCTGGTGCCTGCATCCTGCACCTGGTAGGCCTTGGTCAGGCGGTATTCTAGTTCCCAGTGAGGTGTCTCCTGCGCATTTGCCTGGCTCAAGTTCAAGAAATAGGTCACCATGTCCTGGACAGGAAACATAAGATATGTCCGTGATGAGCAGCTGTCTCATTCCACCCCCAATCCTGCACCTTGACTTTGTCCCAGGTCTCTTTATAGGGATAATCGTGGCTGTTATTCATCACTGAGCATCCAGCTACCCACCTACCCGGTATGCCTGTGCTTGGATCTGATGAGGTAACTACACTTCTGACTCCCATTTTCCTGATAGGGCTACGGAGGCCTAAAGAGGTGGTTATGGTTTGAATGTGAGGTGTCTCCTGAAGGCTCATGTTTTGAATGTTTGCTCCCCAGCTGGTAGCACTATTTTGGGAGGTTGTGGAACCTTTAGGAAGTGGGTCCTAGCTGGCAGACAGAGGTCACTAGGGGTCAGCCTTTGAAGCTGATTCTGGCTCCGTTACTACTTCCTGGTCAACAGTGATACGAGCCTTGGACACATGACACATGCTCCCACCACCATTAATTCTGCCATGCCTTCCCCATCAGATGGACCAAAACCCTCTGAAACCATGATGTGTATTGTGGTCACAGTATTGCAAAAGTAGTTAACATACAGGTTATTCTCACCAAGTTAGGATCCTACAGGCACTCAGTGGCAGAGGTGGGCTTGGAACACAAGTTGCTTACCCTGCAACCAGATTTCCTGCCCCACCAAGCTGTCAGGTACAAACTCTTCACAGAAGCTCTGATGCTTGTGAATCTTCAGAGTGGGGTTAATCATGGAGGTGTGCCTGGCTAGCAGGTTATAGAACTGTGGTTGACAAGGGTTTAAGACTCAAACAAGATTCCTAGAACTTAGAGGTACCTTCAGGACTAGAACCTGAAGGGTTTGTTGATCCAACACTTTCCAGTTAAATGTGTGGTCCCTAAAGACAGGATAACAGGAGTTATCATGAGGGCTGGAGAGATGGTTCAGCAGTTAAGACCATTGGCTGTTCTTGCAGAGGACCTGGGTTCAATTCCCAGAACCCACATGTTCCAAGGTATTCAATGCCTTCTTCTGACCTCTGCGGACACTGCCCAACATGGGTGCACTTACACACATGCAGGCAATATACTCATACACATAAAAATAATAAATAAGCCAGGCATGGTAGTGCATGCCTTTAATCCCAGCACTTAGGAGGCATAGTCAGGTGGATCTTTGTGAGGCCAGCCTGGTCTACATAATGAGTTCCAGGACAGCTGGGGCTATAAGGAGACCCTGTCTCAAAAAAGACAATAAATAAATAAATATATATAAATTTTTTTCAAGAAAAGAGGACTTTCCATGAATGGATAGGAACCTTGGGTGCTGGACACATCAAATTACTGCACTACACCCTCTCTGTCCCATTACTTCCAATGTATAGATGAAGCAACAGAATGGCCATGCAGACAAAAGGGCACACTCTTAAAAATCCTCAGACCTAGGGTTGGTGAGATGGCTTAGTGGGTAAAAATACTTGCCACCGAAGCCTGACTACCTGAGTTTGATTCCTGGAATCCACATGGTGGAAGGAGAGAAAATGACTTCTGCAAGTTGTCCTCTGACATCTGCACATGTGTGCATACACACACACACACACACACACACACACACACACACACACACACAAATTCTCAGACCTAGCAAGGCATAGTGACTCAGCTGTAATCCCAGCACTTGGGAGTCAGACAGAAGAATTGGATCAAGGAAATCCTGGCTACTCCACCTCTAAAATACCCTCAAAACCCGATACTTCTCACCACTCTGGTCAGCGTCACCATCATCCGGCTACTCGTTTTTTAGTCACCTTCTTACTGTGTCTGCCGGTGCTCTTGGCCCCAGCAGCCTGTTCTTTGATCGGCAGTCATGGTGATTTTGAAAAACTGTAAGTCAGAAGAGCTCACACCTCTGTCCCAAGCCCTCCAGATCCAGATCAATGACCTACATGCTCTGACCTCATTCCTCCCACTCTCCACTTGTGCCTTGTTCTGTGGTCGCCCACCTCCTTGCTCTTCCCCTAACACCTTCCCACCCCAGGGCCTTAGACTTTCTGTCCCTCCCTGCATCTTCCCCAGATGCCCAGCTGGCTCACTCAGTTTACACAGAACCCAAATGTCTCCTTACCTGTGACACTCTCCCTGTCCCATCTATGTTACACAGACCACATACCCCAAACTCATCCCTACCTTCACCTTTTCTTTCCTTCCCTCTTTTCCTCCCTCCCCTGCCACACTCTTAATGTTGGAAATCAAACCTAGTGCCTCCTCCAGCTAGACAAGCACTTTACCACCAAGCCATAGCCTCAGCCCCACCCTACCTCACCCCACCTCCACGCTTTTGTGAGACAGGCTCTTGCTAAATTACTCAGTCTGACTTTGAACTCACTATGTAGTCCAGGCTGGCTTTGAATTGAACACATAATCAACCCTCATGCCTCAGCCTCCTAAGTAGCTAAGATTACAGTTTTGTATCACCTATATGTTAGGTCCAGAAGACCAGTTACTTTGTCGGTCAATTAAGTATTTTCTGGGACTTAAACAGGGTCTGATATATGCAGATGCTTAGTAAGTTGTTTTGTTGAGACAGGTCTCACATTGGCTGATCTGGAACTTGCTATGTAGGCCAGGCTGGCCTCCAACTCAGAGATCTACCTGCCTCTTCCTCCAGGGTGCTGGGATTAAAGGCCTGCATCACCATGCCTGGCTGCTTAATACATTTTGTTGAACAAATTAAGGAATAGTCTGTCATTTCAATAATCCTAGCACATCCTAGGAGATTAATTGCTCACTGAGTTAGGGGCTGGTTGGTGTATGAAAAGAGGTCACAATGGGCTTGAAGTCAGACTATAAGATGCCTTCAATACCAGCCTAAGGGAAGGCAACTTTATCTTGAGGGCACTGGAGAGACATTGAAGGTTTGTGAGCAGGAGAGAAGGAAGATGAAGACAGCGCTTTAGAAAGACAGATCCTTTTGGACATGGAGATGCGTGTAACAGGAGCAGGGCTGGTGTCAGGGAGACCAGCTAGGAGGTGGTGACAGTGAACCAGGGCCTGGGAAAACTGGGGAGGAAGAATTGACCTGATTTGGTGGCAGGTTCTAAACCTGACCTTCCTGAGGCTCAGTGGTCAGTAACAGGTGGGTTAGGGAAGTCACACTAAGGGTTAGGGAAGGTGGTGAGATGTTTAGATTCCCCCACTCCTGGCCCCAGAAAACTCAGGCTCCTGACCTGCAGATTCAGCGTAACTTGGTTGTACTCAAAAACTCGGATGCCTGGATTATTGGCTCCATTCACCACTCCAGGCAGTGTGGTCTTCCAAGGGGAGACCCCAGGTGTGAGGAACATGACGCTTATGGGGACACCTTTAGGGAGAGAGACAGCATGCTGAGGGGGGCCAAGGAAAGAAGTTGGTGGGCTGCCAGTTACCCTCCAGGGAAAGTACCTGCATTGTCATAGAACATCCGGAAGCTGTCAGTATGATGGTGCCCAAAGAACTGTCCAGCTATGACTTGATGGTGCTTCTGGACCACCTTCAAGTACTCTTCATTAAAGCCCTCCCGAAACCATGCCTTGTTCTGTGTCTTCTCAAAGAACCCTGGGGGCACGTGACCAATAATGTACACCTGTGAGAAAGAGGTGCCAGGACTCAGAGATGCTCTCCGAAGCTCTCCTTTCTGCCTTCCAAAACCTGCCGTGTCCTCTGAGGAAGGTGGGCAGGCTCAAGTGCATCTCCTCTCTCAGAACCTAGCTCCAAAGCACCTCTTCCATGAATCCTTCTTGATCCTTCTTGAGTAGAGAAGAGTAGGATGGGGGCAGGATTAAGACATGAACCTTAGGGGCTGGAGAGATGGTTCAGCAGTTAAGAGTGCTGACTGCTCTTGCAGAGGACCTGGGTTCGATTCCCAGCACCCACATGGCGGCTATGAACCGTCCTTAACTCCAGTTCCAGGGGACTCCGAAGCCTTCTTCTGACCTCCAAGGCATTACCTAACATGGGTGCACTCACATACATGCAGGCAATACACTCATACACATAAAATAAAAATAATAAATATTTTTTAAAAAAAGAAAGACATGAACCTTAGAGTTAAACTGCAGAGTGGACACAAGCTGCATGTCACCTCTCTGAGCTTAAAATTTCTTTTTTTAATATGTTTTATTTTTATTTTTATATGTATGAGTGTTTGCCTGCATGTGTGTAAGTGCACCCATGTCAGGCAGTGCACACAGAGGACAGAGGGGGCATTCAATCCCCTGGAACTACAGCTTCAGACAGTTGTTAGCAGCCATATGGGTGCTGGGATTCAAATCCAGGTCTTCTGCAAGAGCAACCAGTGCTCTCAACTGCTGAGCCATCTCTCTAACACCGAATCAACTTTCTTATCTGGAAGAGCATCTACCTGGAGGAGATTACAAAGAAATGAGGCGATCCATCTAAAGCCTTAAGCAGTGCATGGATTCAGATATCAGTCCCTGAGTAGATATTGGCCCAGCAGACCACCTAGGGCACTCTGTTGAGGTCTAGCATGCCGTGTGTTACTGCTGTGGGTGTGACAGCAGTGGAGAGAGCTCTGAACTTGGAGCATGGAGACTGGGGTTCTAGTTTTGGCTCCATCACTTATGGTATGATGGGACAGACTATCACCACTCCTCAGTGTCCCTGTGTGCAGTGGGCTCTAGGTCCCCAGCTCACAGGGCTGTTTTGACCCCTCCTGGCCACAGGGCTAATGCAAGACCTTCTGGAATGTGAGCATCCTGGGTAGGTGGGTGAGTCTGTGCCCAGTGGGAAACTTATTTCAGGAAGTAACCCCAGGGGTGGCAGAAAAAGCAGGCACACTTACCATCTCCCGGTCTCTGGATGCATTGCTCAGCACATCTTCCAGCCAATGGAACTGCCCGCCAGGGTCCACCATGCCAGCTGTCTGCTCGTTGTTGCTGTAGTACAGATTGGTGTTGAGGACCACAACTCGCCCTGCTCTTCTGGGACCCGGCAGCTTCTCGGAATAGAAGGCACCTAGGATGTTACAGCCAGGGATGACCTGAAGGCAGGGACCTCGGCCACCCTGAGCCTCATTTTCTGATCTCTTTCCCTTGCATCCTCGCTCCCCATCTTTCCCATAGGAGGGGCATCAAGAGGTAAGAGCAAAGGTTCTGGAGTTGAGTTCTAGTCCTGGCTCTATCACTCATTAGCTGTGCAAATTAGGAAAGTTACTTTACCTGTTGATGCTCAGTATTCCTCATCTGTATAATGGAATAACAAAGATACATTTTTTCTATCCAGATCTGCTGTGGCCCCTCTTCCACTCAGCTCTCTGACCTAGGAGCTGGCCTATTTAGACTAAATAAATGGACTTCTTCTGTGCCATGGGCTTGGGATTGACCAATGCAGAGTCCCAGCAGCAGGAGACCAGGGACACTTTGAGCTGGTTATGCCTCTGGACCAGTCATTCTCTACTGAGAGGTGTTGGGAATGTTCAGAGACACTTTGGGGCTGAAGCTGTCACTGGCTTCTAGTAGACAGAGGCCAGAGACACTGCTAAGCATCCTACAACATGCAAACAGTTCTGCCCAAGAAGGAACTATCCAGCCCATGATGCCAGTGGTTGCCCAGGTTCAAGTCAGTTTAAGCTGGTTTCCCACTCCTACATTACTAGAAAGGTCTAACACCATGCTGAGGATGATGGCTGTCACACAGGAAATGCTCACTGAATACTGACTTAGGATCATCATTACTGCTCTGGGGTTAAGTACACAGGCTTTGACGTCTGTCCTAGATTCTGTTCTCAAGTCTGACCCTGTCTCTCAGTCTCCCAATCTGTAAAATGGGGATAAAAGTCAGTATCTATTTCAGGGTTTGTTGTGAAGATGAAATCAGATCAGACCCTACCTGGCATACTGTACATGCTCCTGATAGTAACAAGTGGCATTTAATACCTTTCTTGAAGAGAGCAAAGGACTCGTTACTAAGCCAGGGTCTCCATAGTTCTGCAACTCGATTGTAGATGTTATGGCTCTGTGCTGGGAACTGGTTTTTAGGGTGAAAATCATGATTTCCCAAAGCAGCATAGACTTTAGTATCTAAGAGGAAAAGAAGAAATCTTAAGAAATCTCAAAAGCACTCAGTGGAGTTCGTCCTTTTCAGCCAGCCACTGGTCATCAGAGCTAATGGGGAAGATCGATAACACAGATGAGGAAATACACAGATAGGCAGAAAACCGCATTTGATAGAATCTAGCTGAGTTTCACTCAGGCCTGGGAAGGAAGAGCAGTGAGCTGCTGGATCCCCGCTCCTAACCCTGTTCCCAGCAAAGGATGTCCTAGTTAGGAAGGAGGCCCCTTGCATGGAAAGGGGAACATTAGGGGCTCTAAACAACACATTACTGTTACCAGCTGGTGTGTCCTTGTCAATTACAGGCCATCTTGTGTTGGAGAGGAGGGGTGGCTCACCTCAAGAAGTCTTAGGGTTTTCCCTCATTCATGTAGTCAACAAATACTTTATCGAACAACTACTTGGAGCTGAGAACCCAGAATCCTTGTAATAAGTATAGTAGACATGAAGTAATTAGAGGTGTGGGGGCCACTTGCTGTGGGAGGGCTAGCAGAGGCTGGGAGTAGGGATCAGGGGAAGCCTCCTTTAGGAATGAGTCCAAGAGGTTTAGTGGAGCCTAGCAGACTGCCTCTTTATGGAAGGCCTTGTGCTTACTTTTTATTGTTGTTGGTTCTGGTAGTGGTGGTGGGTTTTGTTTCTTTGTTTTAACTTATTTATTTTAATTTTATGTGCATAAGTGTTTTGCCTGCCTGTATGTAAGTGCACCACATGTGTGCAATGCCCAAGGAGGCCAGAAGAGGGCATCGGATCTCCTGGAACTGGAGTTAAGGATAGTTAGCCACTGCATGGGTGCTGGGAACTGAACCAGGGTCCTCCACAAGAGCAGCAATTGCTCTTAACCATTGAGCCATTTCTCCAGCCCCTTGGTTTGGTTTTTGAGACAGGGTCTCACTATGTAACTAAGGCTGACCTTGAATTCCAGAACCTCCTGCCACCAGAGTACTAGAATTTCAAACCAGCGCCAACACATCCAGCTAATTTCTGGTTTTATTTTAGGCTCTGTGCCTGGCATACAGTATGTGCTTAATAATATTTAACAATGAACAACAACAAAATCTTGTTAAGAGGGGCTGGAGAGATGGCTATGGGTTAAGAGCACTGGCTGCTCTGGCATAGGACCAGGGATTGGTTCCCAGCACAGACATGGTGGCTTCATTTGCAGGGGATCTGATGACCTCTTCTGACCTCCATGGGCACCAGGCATGTAAGCAGGCAAAACTCTTATATACATTAATTTTAAAATATCTTTAAAAAAATCTTGCTAGGGAAGAAAGGAAAAGAAGAAAAGAGAAGAAAGAAAAGAAAGGAAAAGAAAAAGGAAAGAAAGCTCAGTGTGGTGCTGCATGTCTTTGATTGTAGCAGTTAGGAGGCAAAGGCCAGTGGATCTCTGTGAAATTGGAGGCCAGCCTGGTCTCCATAGTGAGTTCCAGACCAGCTGGGGCTACAGGAACCTCCCCCCAGTCTCAAAAAAATCAAAACAAGCAAACAAACAAAAGAGTTGGGCCACTGATAAACCTCTCCCCATATACTGTAAAGAAAATTCCCAGCAAGAGTTCACATTCCATCAGCTTTTCACATGCCATGAGCTGTGCTATGCTGCTACTGAATTTTTCCTAGACTTTCCCGCCTTTCACACTTTGCTCCTTGGACATATTTGGCAATAGCTTTGTAAGTGATGTGGCCGTAATTACCTACAATAATGAAAACTACCGGAATTTTTTAATTTTTCAATTTCTCCTTAGGCATAGTCTTTTTTCCCAAGGCAGATCACTCTGTGTGCACATGTGAAAAAGACAACTACCATGTTAATAAAATATTTTCTTAAATTTTTATGTGTGTGTGTGTGCAAGCACATGATTCAGAGTGAGATCTCTCCTACCATGTGGGTTCCAAGGATCAAACTCAGGTGGTCAGGCTTGGTAACAAGTTCTTTGGTAACCCACTGAACCATCTTGCTGGCCCGCTGGAGAGATGGCTCAGTGGTTAAGAGCACTGACTGCTCTTGCAGAAGACCCAGGTTCGATTCCCAGAACCCACATGGCGACTACAAACCGTCCTTAACTCCAGTTCCAGGGGAATCCAAAGCCTTGTTCTGAGCTCCGCAGCATTGCACGACATGGGTGCACTCACATACATGTAGGCAATACACTCATACACATAAAATAAAAAAATAATGGGGTTGGGGATTTAGCTCAGTGGTAGAGCACTTGCCTAGCAAGCGCAAGGGGTGATAGTGAGTGGAATCATTCCCACTTCCATCCCTTGATTCCTGGACCCATGAATCCTGGCTATAGGAGAAACTGTACCATATATTGGACACTGATTCAAAGCATACACTGCCTTCTGGAGGACCCTGCCCCAGACCTCCAGGTTATTGCCACCTAATTGGCACTGTAACTGTGTCTTTAAGAGACCATTCCATCGTTCTATCAAGCCAGCTGCTTCAGGATGGTGGGGAACATGGTAAGACCAATGGATTCCATGACCATGGGCCCACTGCCGCACTTCTTTGGCTGTGAAGTGAGTTCCCTGGTCAGAAGCGATGCTGTGCGGAATACCATGACGGTGGATAAGGCATTCTTTAAGTCCCTGGATAGTAGTTTTGGCAGAAGCATTACATGCAGGAAAGGCAAATCCATAACCAGAAAAAGTGTCTATTCCTGTAAGGACAAAACGCTGTCCCCTCCAAGATGGAAGTGGTCCAATGTAGTCAACCTGCCACCATGTTGCAGGCTGGTCACCACGGGGAACAGTGCCATATCGGGGGCTCAGTGTTGGTCTCTGCTGTTGGCAGATCTGGCACTCAGCAGCAGCTGTAGCCAGGTCAGCTTTCGTGAGTGGGAGTCCATGCTGTCGAGCCCATGCATAACCTCCATCTCTGCCACCATGGCCACTTTGTTCATGGGCCCATTGAGCAATGACAGGAACAGCTGAAGAAAGAGGCTGACAGGGGTCATCCAATCTACTTGATTACTGAACTCATCTTCTGCTGAAGCCACTTTTTGATGAGCATTTACATGAGACACAAGTATGAGAACCAAGTTATGGCACAGTGCTGGAGAGTTAATATATCCTTCAGGCAGGACAGTAAAGGTATACTGTTGGCCTTGCCAGCTGAAAGCAAATTGCTTCTGGTGGTCTTTATGAACTGGTATCGAGAAGAAAGCATTTGCCAAATCAATAGCTGCATACCAGGTACCAGGAGACATATTAATCTGCTCAAGTAAGGAAACCACATCTGGTACAGCAGCTGCAAATGGAGTCACTACTTGATTAAGTTTTTGATAGTCAACTGTCATTCTCCACGATCCATCTGTCTTCTGCACAGGCCAAATAGGAGAGTTAAAGGGAGATGTGGTGG